CTAGTGACACCCCGATGTAGGGCTGTGTTGGTTTTTTTTATTTCCGCAAATTATACTGTTAACTGCTCATTTTGGAATTTTATTTTTGATTAAAGACTTAGTAGTTATTGTTTAGTTTTCTAAAGTGAATTGGAGGTGTTCGACTGGCCTTGTCTTCACAAGAGGCGTCATCACAACCGGGTTGGGATTTAGGGTCGTGACAATGATCAATGCACATCAAGTTTCATACTCCTGGACTGGTATAAATGACATGCTACGGTATATGCATGTGCAAGTGTACTATCACAGTTCAAATCAACAAGTAATATCAGAGACACCGAGTAGCACATTGAAAACAACACAATAAATCACGTAATATATATGACACACATAAGGATGTCACCCCCACCACACAAATATCATCAATAATATGCCCCCCCAGACCATCACATATCATACCCACATAGCTCTGCTTGTTTCACTGCGTGCGCAATAATAAAGTGAATATCCGTCTTATCTCGTCACACACGTATCAATAATTATCCTACATTGTCTCGCCACATGCGCAAACCTGATATATATGTACACATAGCCCACCTTGTGTCACTGCATGCGCGATATCAATAATAACATTAGCACGACAAAACCTCGTGTAAACACCCTGACAATCTGTTCAACAAGTCCACATATGCTAAAATCACAACAACACAACATATCAACAATTGTCACCAAGACATCGATTTGCAAGTCTGCCAATACAGTGTACAAGGACAATCAATAAAGCGGATGAGCGTTCAATATATAACACGAATTCAGCTAACGAATATAACAACAATTTCAAAAATGCCCAACTTGGCCAATTAGGGAAATAAAATCCTAAAACTTGATCTCAAATATGGAATATGAACTCAAGTAATCATCCAGAATAGGAAACATGTAGTGAAGAGATCTCACAATCAAAACAAGGCAATAAGTGCAATCCCAGGTAAAATCCGATCATAACTAACACATATATGCCCGTGTGCACACTCGTCCCCTTATGTACACGTTATTCACGTAGTATAAATGATGCAATTAGACCAAATCCTACGGGAAGTTTCTCACACACAAGGTTAGGCAAGATACTTACCTCAAAAGCCCTCAATCCATACTCTAAAAGTGTCTTTCCTCTAGAATTCACCTCCGCTCGGCTCAAATCTAACCAAAATCGACTTAATAACATCAAATAATGCAATAGAAACTAATTTCAATAGATAATGTTAAGATCTTTACACAATTTCCCAAAATCCAACCCCGGACCCCCCGGTCAAAACCCAAGTCGAAGGGTAGATCTTGTGTTCATAGCCCCACGAGTCCAAATATGTATTTGGTTTTCAAATTCGAGTCCAGTTCGACTCTCAAATCTCAAATTTTTATTTTTCAAAACATAGTCAAAAATCACCAAAAACTCTCTTCAAATCTCGTGATTTAGATGTTATATCTCATAAACAACCATGTTATGTAATAATAAATAAAACAAAATTATTTACCCAATAGTTTGGTATAAAAATCTCTCCTCAAAATCGCCTCCCATCAAGTCTAGGACAAAATGTGATAATGAGACTAAGTCCCGAAATACACTACATATAATCAGCTGCAGATGTCGCATTTGCGACTGGAGGTTCGCAAATGCAGCCTCCGCAAATGCGACACATGCATCTCAAAAGTGAAGCTTGCCCCAGCCTTGAGAATCTCGCAAATGCGAAAACATGTCCTCAAATGCGAACCAAGCAGCTCGCACATGCGAGAAAGCCATCGCAAAAGCGGCCTGCTCCGGCCCCAGCTCGCCATCACAAATGTGATCAGGGGTTCGCATATGCGAACCCAGACACCATCGCAAATGCAATCTTAGTTCCGCAAATGCGAAAGCTGGTCTCCTAGCCAATTATCGCAAAAGCGAGAAGGATCTCGCAAATGCGAGAACAGAGCAAAAATATAAACCTCTCTCTCAAACTCTCCGGAACGCGTCCGACACTCACCGGAGCCCCCGGGGCTCCACACTAAACATCCATACAAGTGCATAAATATCATATGAACTCGCTCGCGCGATCAAAATACCACAATAATGTCTGGAAGCACGAATCGGATACCAAAACACATGAAATTTACAATGAAACTAAGAATTGCTAGAAACTCAACCATGCGTCCGATTCCTATCAGACTAACTCGGAATGACACCAAATTTTGCAGACAAGTTCCAAATGACAAAACGGACCTATTTCAAGTCCCAAAATCAAAATTCGAACATGATAGCCATAAAATCAAACCATGGTCAAACTTATACAAATTCAAAACCTTCAAATAGCCAACTTTCGCCAAAAAGTGTCAAATCAACATTGGAACCTCCGAATCCAATTCTAAGCATAGGCTTAAGTCCAAAATCACCATCCGGAACTAACGGAACCATCAAAACTCCGATCCGAGATCAAATACGCAAAAGTCAAACTTAGTCAACTCTTCCTACTTAAAGCTTCTAAAATGAGAATCATTCTTCCAAATCAATCCCGAATCGCTCGAAAATCGAAACCGACTATACACGTAAGTCATAATACATAATATGAAACTACTCAATCTACCGAACCGGATGCTAAATTTTAAACGACAGGTCGGATCGTTACACTACTGAAGGTAAACAAGTTTCTAAAATAGTATAACTAGGTAAAAATCTCTATTGCATTTGAACCATTCAAATCTATCAAATCTTATTATTCCTTCTTTTGCCCCTTTTATTTCTATTTTTTTAAATACTGCAGGGAATTGTTGACTACATGAATTATGGGTTGAGGACAAATGGCTAATAAAATTAGCTAAAGGCTTTATGAAGGAAAGATCATAGACACGTTTATAAAAAAAATCCTAGTCAAATGGAAGAAGACCGGACAAGTAACTACAACACTTGTTTTGAGTAGAGGCCTTCCTTAGGCCTATAAATGGGTGAAATTCAAAAATAGACAGATTTACAGGGGTAATTGAAAAATAGCCACAATTTCAAAAGTAATCGAAATTTAGCCATTTTTCATGTAAAGATAAATCTGAAAGAAAATACTATTCAAAATTCCGAAAATATTCCAGCATTATATACTGGAGTTTGAATTTTTTTTTTACATGTGAACTTCCAACATAATATACTGGATTCCAGCATAATATATTGGAGTTCGAATTTTTTTACATGTGAACTTCCAGCATAATATATTGGAGCTCCAGCATAATATGCTGGAAGTTCATACACAGGTTCTCCAATCTCCAGTATATTATGCTGGAACTTTTCGTGTGCTGGAGTTCTAGCATAATATGCTGGAAGTTCATACACAGATGCACCAATCTCTAGTATATTATGCTGGAACTTTTCGTGTAGCAGCAAAATAGTGACTATTTTTCAGCGACTTCGCAAATGCTGGCTAATTTTCAATTACCAATCCGAAAACTGACTAGCTCGCGTTATTTTCACCCTATCAATACTTTTTCCATATTTTTCAATCATAAGCGAGCACTAAAATTTTCGAGTACAAGCCTTCTTGACTCGCGTTAGCTTCTTTCTTTCTCCATTTTCCTTTTAGAATATTAGTTGTCAATTTCTTTATTATCCTTCATTTTTCCTTGTACAAAATTAGTTGTCATTTCTTTATCTCCTTCCAAACTTGCTGAATTATTATTATTATTATTATAATTATTATTATTATTATTATTATTATTATTATTATTATTATTATTATTATTATTATTATTATTATTATTATTATTATTGTTATTATAATCATCATGATCATCGTTATTATTGTTATTATTATTATTATTATTATTATTATTATTATTATTATTATTATTATTATTATTATTATTATAAACTAAAGCTTGTTTAATGCTAAAGAAATATTTCACATCGTTGAAATAGTATCTTAAAACAAATCCTAGCACAATGTATCTGCTCAAAAATAACTTTTTATTTTTGTGGTAATTCAACAATTAAAAATTTTCAATTTAATTTGAGAAGTACATTAGACTAGTCTAATATAAAATATAATAAATTAACATGAAATTAAAGAGAGCAATTCAACAATGTTCAACATGAACAATGTTACTGACAAGGGTTGTAGTGGAATGGTAAGTGCTTCTTCGTCCTTAATCAAAGGTCTCGGGTTCAAGTCCCTGGGTACAGAGTCGCCTTTGTTAGGAAGCGCTTAACCTCCCCCC